TTGGCAGAGAGAGTTTGACATCTTTTCTAATTTGTATCTGTTTGATTTCCTTTTGTTGTCTGATCATACTGGCTAATGTTTCAAGAACTACATTGAATAAAATTGGTGAGAGTAGACATTCTTGTCTTGTTCCTAATTTTAGAGGAAATGTTTTTAGTTTTTCTCCATCAGTATGCTGTTGGCTTTGGGTTTGTCATAAGTAGCCTTTACGATGTTGAAGTAAGTTCCATAGATCCCTAGTTTCTCCAGTGTTCTTAACATGAATGGGTGATGGATTTCATCAAAGGCCTTTTCTGTATCTGTTGAGATAATTATATGATTCTTATTCTTAATTCTATTTATGTGGTGAATTACATTTATTGATTTGTGTTTGTTGAACCAACCTTGCATCTTGGGATAAAACCTACTTGATCATGGTGTATTATCTATCATCTTAATATTTAAAAAAATTTTTTTAGTTGTCAGTGGGCCTTTAATTAATTAATTAATTAATTAATTTATATGTGGTGCTGAGAGTTGAACCCAGTGCCTCACACATACTAGAAGAGTGCTCTATGACTGAGCTGTGACACCAGCCTCTTAATATGTTTTTGACTGCAGTTTGCTAATGTTTTATAAGAATTTTTGCATTTATGTTCATCAGGGATATTAGTGTAGTTTTCTTTATTTTTTTAGTTGTCAATTGAGTCTCAGCAAGACTCAAACTCAGTGCCCCACACATGCTAGGCAAGTGCTCTACCACTGAGCCACAACCCCAGCCCTTGGTCTGTAGTTTTCTTTCCTTGATGTGTCTTTGTCTGGTTTTTGTATCTGGGTTATACTAGCTTTATAGAATGTTTTTGGACATGTTCCCTCCCTTTCAATATCATGGAATAATTTGAGAAAGACTGGTGTTACTTCTTCTATAAAGGTCTATTAGAATTCAGCTAAGATTCCATGCGGTCCTGGGTTTTTCCCTTTTGGAAAGCTTTTAATTGATGTTTTAATGTCATTATTTGATATTGATCTGTTTAGGTTTTCTAGATCTTCCTGATTTAATTTGGACAGGTTATAGGTGTCTAGAAATTTGTCAATGTCTTCTAGGTTTTTCAGTTTATGGTAGTATAAATTTTCAAAATAAATTCTGGTAATTCTGTGGATTTCAGAAGGTTCTGTGGTGATATCTCCTTTTTTATCTCTGATCATATTTATTTGGTCACATTCTTTCTTTTGTTAGTTTGGCTAAGGGTTCATCAGTCTTATCTTTTCAAAGAACCAATTCTTTGCATTGATACTGTGTATTGTTTTCTTATTCTTTCAATTTCAATTGATTTCAGCTCTGATCTTAATTATTTATTTACTGGTTTTGGAGTTAGTTTGTTCTTCTTTTTCTAAGACCTTGAGGTAGGGCATAGCTTATTTATTTGGCATTTATTTTTTAAATGGAAGCACTCAGTGCTATTAATTTTTCTCTTAGAATTGCTTTCATACTGTCCTAGAAATTTTGATACATTGTATTTCTGTTCTCATTTGTTTTTAAGAATTTCTTGATTTATATTCTCATTTTTTATTTTTTAAATTTTATTTTAAAAATATTTTTTAGTTGTAGATGGACACAATACCTTTATTTATTTATCGTTATGTGGTGCTGAGCCAGGTCTTACCCATGCTAGGCAAGCACTCTACCACTGAGCCACAACCCCAGCACCTATATTCTCTTTATTTTTTGATCCATTCTTTATTTAAGAGAGTCTTGTTCAATTTCCATATGTTTGTATGGTTTCTCAGGCTGGTCAGAGTTGCTGGGATTACAGTCATGCATCACTGGGCCCAGCTCTACTTCATTCATATATATATATCTATATCTCCAAAGTTTTCCATATGTATATGTGTGTGTGTGTGTGTGTGTGTTCACAGTGCTATAAATTCAGTGCTATCAATTCCTCTTTCAGCATTAATTTCACTGCATCCCACAAATTTTGATAGGCTGTATTTTCATTTTTGTTTAGTTTGATCCAATGGGGGAAAAGAAGGCATTCTTAATTTCTCTTTTACTGTTTCTTATTTCTGGCATTTTCATTTGATTCTAAGAATTTCCATCTCCCTATATGTTAGTTTTTTATCATGTTATAATTTGGATCTGGAATGTCACCCAAAGGCTCATGTATTAAAGGCTTGGTCCCCAGCTGTTGGCAGTATTGAGAGGTGGTGGAACTTTAGGAGGTGAGACCTAGCTGGAAGAAGTAGGTCACTGGGGGTATGTCCTTGAAGGGTATACCTTGTCCTTGCCCACCCCCTCTTCTTCCAGGCTGCCATGAGGTGAGCAGCTGTGTTTCATGTTGTGCTCTCTGCTATGATGTTTTGCCTTGCTAAAGGCCCAAGAGCAATGGGGTCAAATGACTATGGATTGAAACCTCTGAAACTGTGAGCCAAAATAAATCTTTGCTTCTTTAAGCTAAAATTTTCATGTATTTGGTCACAGCAACAGAAAGTTAATATGTTACTGTAATATAATACCTGAGATAATTAACTTAAAAAAATAAAAGAATTTTTTTGGACTCATGGTTTAGGAGGTCCAGTCCATGATAATTACCTTACTGTTTTGGACCTGTGGCAAGGCAGCACATCATCATGACAGTGTGTGGCAGAGCAAAACCTCAGAGGCAGAGAGAAAGAGGAAGAGATGAGAGTCCTGTAGTCTCCTTCTGACTACCCCTCAATGACCAAGGTCTTCCCATAAGGCTCCTTCTCCTGAAGATTCACAATACCTCCTAATAGTGCTACCCTGGGAACCAAACCTTTAACACATGGACCTTTGAGGGATATTCAAGATCCAAATGATAGCACCCTGCATACACTACAATCTGTTCTTATGTGATATCTGTTTTTTCCTTTGGAGTTCTTTCTAGATTATTCATAATTATTTTAATTTCCCAATATGATAGTTCCAAACTCTGCATCACATCTGAGAATAGTTTTTATTCTTTCTTTGGCTCATTAGGCTGTTTTTTTCTTGCCTTTTATTAAGGGTTGTGTTTTTTTGTTGAAAAGTTGGACATGATCTGTTAAGTTATAGTAACTAAGGTATTTAGGCTTTTAATGTGAGTTTTTAAAAATCAGTCTGGCTAGGAGTTAAACAGTGTTTAGTGTTTGCTCTGGTTGTAATATCAAAGGCTTAAGTTCCTCTTAGTTTCCTCTCCAACCCCGTTCCATGCCTTCTGTTGTCTTTAGTTTTCTGTAAGAACTCCATCTTAAAGTGTGTTGCATTTCTCTCTCCATTGTTATCAAATAGGAAAAAAGTCCAGTTACTGGCTTCTCTGGGTAAGGTGATCTCTACTGTGATTTTCTGTATTCACTTTTCTCTCCATGTTTAGGGGTGCTAAGTTGCCTTGTGACCTCAGTTCTTTGATGGATGTAGGAAAAGTCGTTGATTTTCAGTTGAGAATGAAAACACTAGCTTCTAAGCTTGTAACATCTCTCAGGCTGGACATTTTAAATGGGTGATGACCTTACGCATGTTCACATGAGAGGCAAGTTCAAAAGGGCTTTTCACTAGACACACTTCATTTAGGCATCAATCTATTTGAAGTTACTTGCTTTAACACTAAGTTTGTCACTGAAATTGTTGGTTGAGTCATTATTACAATACTTGAAAGATTTATTTTAAAAAGATTTTATAAGACCAAATACATTAGTTGAGAAGAGCTGAATTCATAATGAAGAATGAATGAAATGCTATTTATTTGTTATCTACTATATATTTGTCATCTACTATAGAATCAGTTAGCTTAAATATATGTATGAATTACACCAAAATAACTTTATAGTTGTTCATTCACCTTGGCCCATTTAAGTCACTTTGGGGAATGTGGCCCAAGGAAATGAAGCTCCTGTTTATTATAATAGTAATTGGAAATTTGGATACAACATGCTTTCTTTTTTTTTTAATTTTATTTTTAGTTGTAGATGGACACAATACCTTTATTTTACTTATTTATTTATTTTTTTATGTGGTGCTGAGGATCGAACCCAGTGCCTCACGCATGCTAGGCAAGTGCTCTACCACTGAGCCCCAGCCCCAGCCCCGGAAACAGCAGGCTTTATAACAACAGGGAAATTAAGTAGCATCAATCCATATAACAAATTATCATCCTGCTTTCAATGTATGAAGTAAATTAATGATATAAAGAATTTTAAATAATATTAACAAAAAAGTAAAAATTACATATCAATATGATCATGATTGTATAAAAATTTTCACCAAGATTCTATGAAGAAATACATCAAACTAGTATTTTTTTTTTTTTTTTTTAGTTGTAGTTGGACACAATAAAAAAAATTTATTTTTTTGCGCTGGGGATGTGGCTCAAGCGGTAGCGTGCTCGCCTGGCATGCGTGCGGCCCTGGGTCTATCCTCAGCACCACATACAAACAAATGTTGTGTCTGCCGAAAACTAAAAAATAAATATTAAAATTCTCTCTTCTCTCGCTCTCTCTCTCTCTCTCTCTCTCTCTCTTTTAAAAAAAAAAAATTATTTTTATGTGGTGCTGAGGATTGAACCCAGGGCCTGGCAAATGCTAGGCAAGCGCTCTACCACCGAGCCACAACCCCAGCCCTAGTATTTGTTTTTTGATAATGAAATTATAGATGACTTTCTTCTTTATTCACTTTTTACCCTCTATAGTCCAAATAAATTTTCCTCACTGAGCATGTAGTACCTTATTCATAATCAAAACAAACTTTATTAAATAAAATATGTATCTGTGCACAACTATAAATAATGTACCAATTTAACTATAGGATTGTTTTTATGTTCTTTTGCGTCTCTCCACAATAGGAAATGATAAAGCTTTTAGCTGGTATGGCTGAAGGAAAAATGTTTTAGCATTATTCTACCTGAATTCTCTTCTTCTGTTAGTTTGCCTCAGTGTTTTCTGTTTTTGTTTTGATGTTCTTTCCTCTCATTTATTCTTTGTCCCCAGAATAACTGAATTGTTTTTTCTCTCTTTGTCATTCCCAGTTTTGGTTTATGGAGGCCCCCAGTCAGGGTATGGAGCCCCTCCTGCAGGATATGGAGCCCCCTCTGCAGGATATGGAGCCCCTCCTATGGCATATGGAGCCATTCCTGTAGGATATGGAGCTCCCCCTCCAGGATATGGAGCCCCCCCTCCAGGATATGGAGCCCTCCCTCCAGGATATGGAGCCCTCCCTCCAGGATATGGAGCCCCCCCTCCAGGATATGGAGTCCCACCTCCTGGATATGGAGTCCCACCTCCTGGATATGAAGACCCATCTTCGAGAAGTTCAAGACCTGTAGTCCCCCCTTCTAGATCCCCAGCTCCACATGCTGGATCTGGAGTCCAGAATCCCAAAACTGTAACAGCACAGACTCCTGGACATGAAGCTGCTTCTCCCTCTACCTCAGCTTCTGCGGCCTATTCTCTCACTTCTAAAATGTAAACCTTGACTACTTATCAAGCAAAGCAGCACCCTAACATTGAAGTCAAAATAAGGGAGAGGATGCAGGTATACTGATAACAGGCCTATACTCCTTGAAAGGGCAATCATAAGGTAAGGCTAGGCTTTATTTCTATGCCTATATTTTATATTTTTAAACTAACTACTTAATTGTTATTATTATTGCAGTTCTGGGCATTGAATCTAGGACCTCGTACATCTTGCACATGCTAGGTAAGCGCTCTATCACTGAGCTATATATCTGCTCCCCCAACCCTCCTAGATTTTAGAAGCAGACTCATCTTTTGGTTATCTGGGCTAAAGGAGCATTACAGAGCTATTTTCCCAATATTGCCAATAATTTGGTTGACTTTGGGCTGCATTTTTAACATTTTGTATAAGAGTTTGGAAAAGCTTCCTGCTTTTCTCCTCATCCCTCTTCAAGAAACATTTATTATGCTTTCTTTATAGGCACTGAGACATGTGCTAAGAATATCATGATGAACACAGTTATTTTCCACATTATTCTGTACATTAATGAAAGGATGGAATAACCTAAATTTCCAGTAATAAGAGAGAATTTTATACATTATGATATATTTATACAATGAAGTATTATGCAGCTGTTGAAAATGATGTGTGGAGGTAGAGAAAGGAGCTTTTGAGAAGACCAAAAAGAAAAGGAAAGAGTGTCAAACTTGACTATGTCAAAATTTAAAACTTATGTGTAATAAAAGTTAAAAGATAGACAGCAGGGGCTGGGGCTGGGGCTGGGGCTTAGCAGTAGTGCACTTGCCTGGCATGAGTGAGACACTGGGTTAGATTCTCAGCACCACACATAAATAAATAAAACAAAGGTCTATCAACAACTAAAAAAAATATTTAAAAAAAAGACAGCATGTGGGGAGCCACTCTGAATGACTCACGCCTTCCATCCTGAAGCCAGAGGCTTTGACCACTACATTTTGTAGTGATCTGGGCATTGTCCTGGTTCAGGAAGTTGAGGGCGTGTCTTCAGATGTAGGCGACTCCCCTTGGGTTGAATTATACTCGTCCCTTTTAACCCTGCCCTTTCTGGCCTTTTTTGGATGGAACTTTCTAAGAACAAGAGTCTCCCCACCCCAATAAAAGCCCACTTCCAACCATGCTCTCTTTCTCTCTTGCCAGCCTCTCGTGACTTTCTCTTGCTCTCCAATTTGGGGAGCCTGAGGCTGAGAGAGGAGAAACATCCTAAAGCTTGTTTAAAGGTAAAGTGTCTGTCTGTGTTTTATTTGGTGTCCCTGGAAATTCATACGAGCTTAAGTTCAGCTACCCGCGAGGGTCGGGGGCAGCAACAGCAGACTTGGAGAAAACCATTTCCAGCATATAGATTAATGAACAAATGATTTATAGTCAGAATATATGAAGAACCACAAATCAACCCCAAAGGGAAAAAATGGACAAAAAGATGAATTGCCAATTAAGGCAATAATGTGACTGAAAAATATTTCCAAAGATACTCGACTAGTGTTAGCAAAATGCAACCTGAAATAAGAAATCATTTTAATCTCCAAAGATTTATAGATATTGAGTGACTCCGAACAGGAAGAGGACGAAAAAAAATAACTGTCAGCCACACCGAGTCAAACTGGACCCGCTGCTACCATGAACAGCAAAGGTCAGTATCCAATGCAGCCAGCCTACCCAGTGCAGCCTCCTGGGAATTGGTACACCCTCAGACCTTACATCTTCCTCAGGCTCCTTCCTGTGCTGATGCTCCACCTGCTCACTCAGAGCTCTGTCTTCCGGGCTTTGTGCACCCAGGGGCCACCACATTCCCTACCATGTCAGCTGCATCCCTGGCACCTCTCTGTATCTTCCCATGGCCCAGTCCGTGGCTGTTGGGCCTTTAGGTTCCACAGTCCCTATGGCTTATTATCCATTGCAGCTGTCTGGAGTTGCTAAACCTTAAAGCTCTTTCTAACAGTGAAGAGAAGTTAAAGCTCTTCTTCCCATTCCAGAGAAAAAGAACTTCAATTCCAATTTACAGAGAATGGGAGACCTTCTTGAAAAAGATATATGATGGACTGGGATTGTGGCTCAGTGGTAGAGCACTCTCATGTGGGAGGCACTGGGTTCAATCCTCAGCACCATAAAACAATAAATAAATAAAAGTATTGTGTCCATCTACAAGTAAAAAAATATTTTTAAAAAGAATACATATGGTAATATGGAAAGTAGCTGCTGCTATCACTCTGAAAGTATTGTCACAGAGTCATGGGTCTAGGCGGCTGGAATGTCAATAGCATGGAGACTGCCACTTTGCCTAGGTAACTGGACAGAGGAGAAGGGAAAACATAGCTATAACCCTTTCTCAAAGCTCCAAACAGGGAATCCAGACCATGCTACATATTGAACACAGGCCACAGATCTGACTCTTTCTCCAAAGTTTTTACAGGAAATTGATGATATATTTTTCTTATAAAAATGTTTCTTCTTACTTCCAAACCACTGTACATGGGCAAAAATGACAAAAGAGGAAGAAAGGAGAGAATCTTTGAACTAGAGCAGGAATAAGGTTCCCCATGTTCAACTTTTCAGTGTCTGCTGGAATGTGACGGTGAGTTGGGAACAGGGTGTGACCTCTTTTATACCTTAATAGTTCTCTAAATAACTGATATTTTGCAAACATATAGGGACTTGAAATCTAAAAAGGTAAAAATTCAACTTTACTCCTCTTCCTTCCAGTAGATTTGAGGTAAGGTCCGATTATCTAGAAAGTGTAGCAGGCCTGAGTCTCCTGAGAGTGGGAGACTTTACTTTCATGTTCTCTTCTGCTAAAGGTGCCTGTTCACCTGGTCCACCAAGCTGCTATTTTTCCACCAAGCTGGCTATTTGGGACCAAGCAGAACCAAGTTTGGTTCCACATGGTGCTGTGTGGCATACCTACTGTTAGCTCTCACTGCCTGGTACAATTATTTCCAAAAGATTGAGTCAGATTCTTTCTATAAGAGGTATTTTTTATGAGAAGTGCTTTGTGTCCTGTGTATTCAAAGGGACTGTTCTGTTTAGAACAAACTCAGTGAGAATTTAGCTGGGCCTGCTACAGTCTCAAAGTACTCATTGGGTCCTTATGACACCCACTGATATTTTGGGTACTTTCTTTCTTTCTTTTTTTTTATACATTTACTTTATTTATTTATTTTTATGTGGTGCTGAGGATTGAGTCCAGTGCCTTACATATGCTAGGCAAGCGCTCTACCACTGAGCCACAACTCCAGCCCCTGGGTACTTTATTTTTGTGCTTGTGGATTCCACTCTTCTTCCTAACTCTTCCCTGGCTGTGATACAGAAACTGCTCTATTGTCTACTCTGTCTCCTCATTTTGTATTAGAAATACAGAGATGGAAAGAAGGCATTTTAGTCCTAGAGTGGACCCAAAACATGAACCCCCAAATACTCCTTTCGTGAGTGCATGCCCACCACCAGCCTGTTAACCAGAACTTTTCTTTCTCAACAATGAGGAATCAGGGAAAATGTATAGCTGGTGTGATTTTTTTCAATCCGTAGAACACTAGGTGAAGAAAGAAATATTTCATGTCTGTTTTCCTTAAATTTAATTCTGTTACCAGGACCCCTCCCATCATCTACCTAGTTGGTGGGTTCCTCACAAATTCCAAGATTATGCAAAAGTATCCAGATTTTATGTGGTGTCAAGTTGCTGAGAAGGCGCTGCCAGTCATCACAATACTTCTGAAACAGCACTGTCTAGTCTGACAGTCCCATCAAGAGAGTGTGGCATTTTCCTTGTTACCCCAGAATCTTGGGTGGAGTTGTAACCTAAGATTATGAATAGTTGTAACTCTATGCACCATGTTGCCCCTGAGGACTGTGGAGCAGGAGCCCAACGCCTACTCCTTGAGAGACTCATAATTCCTTCCCCCACCTCCCAGATTTTCATTTCCCTGCTATCCTCTTTGCATCCCCTCTACTTTTTGAGCATTGGTCTTAATCCTAATCTCAGGATTTGAGTTTCCACAAAAGCTAATATCCCTTTTCTTCACATTTGGTTTGATTTTCCTTGTCTGGTGCCTGGCTGCTTGCTTGAAAATCTTGTATGGGAGGATTCAAGATGGCGGATTAGAGGAAAGATGCTTTCCTAGTTTCTCCATGGCTCGGGATTCAAGAAGCAAGAGTACTGCTTCTCAGTGAGGTGGGTAAAAGAGGGATTTTACTAAAATTCAATATCGGACAGTCAGAGTGTCTTAGAGACTCAGAAATTTGGGTGCATTGAAGAGCTAAAATGGTTAATGGCAGCAGCAGCTGTAGCAGCGCTGATTCAGCATAGAGGGAGGGAGAACACAGAAACTATTTGGTATAGAAAAAACTTGAGATCAGAAAAGCAACCTGAACTTAGATGATTCAGTTATACTGTGCACTGGTATTTGAAAGTGCTTGGTGTTTCTCAACTGGCCATGGGGAGATGAGGTGGGAGGCATCATGGCCATGCTGCAGCTGCTGTGGGAGCTGGAAGATCATAATAAACACTGCCATACTGTCTCACAGGCACCTACCATGTGGCCTAGGATGTACCTAGCAGAACAGAAATAATGAAGATTGTACCAGGGGGATTCAAGTCAGAAAAGCCAAGGGGAGCTGGGCGTGGTGGTGCACGCCTGTAATCCCAGTGGCTCTGGAGGCTGAGGCAGGAGGATCATGAGTTTGAAGCCAGCCTCAGCAAAAGCAAGGCACTAAGCAACTCAGTGAGACCCTGTCTCTAAATAAAATACAAAATAGGGCTGGGGATGTGGCTCAGTGGTTAAGTGTCCCTGAGTCCGATCCCCAGTACCAAGGGGGAAAAAAGAAAGCAAAGGGGAGCCTACCTGCCTTCTCCTTTAAGTCTAGTGGCTCCCATGACCAGCTGAAGTAGGTCAGGAATCTGAACAGGCAGGTGTGAATACACTTGGGCTAAGTCTGGGAAGGCTGTATTTTTGGGCAGCAAAGGGGTGGAGGATTTGCTCCCCTGTGCCCAAGTAGAATTCTTGGGAGGCTCCTGAGATCCAGACTCCCTGTTCCAAGAGTAGAATTCTTGGGAGGCTCCAGACTCCCATCAGAGATTTGCAACTCTAGGCTCTATGGGGGTGTTGATCTAATCTTTCCGGATCAGACACTACACAACAAAGCCCCTGAGGTCTGATCAGACCTAAGCCCCACATGCCAGAACTGCCCTCATAGAACTCTGCAGCAGCTCCACCTTGGGAGTGCCCAGTCTGGTCTGTGTGGACAAAACTGCGTCTGATAGTGTTTCCCATCCCATCCTACCTCATACTGGTGAGAGTTATTTTCAACCTGCTTCCAACTGGCAGCTCAGAAAACAACATAAAAAGAGGAAAGGAGCTAATAACCCCAAGCCCTTGCTCACTCTCTCTACAGTGCTCAAGAAGAAGCAGAAAGAGACAGATAAGCATAGAAATGACCAGCCATTCTGGTTGACCAGTCTGACTATCCCAGTAGAGATAGTTCCTTCATTTTTCATTAAGAATCTTTTTCATTTTGGTTTCTTTTTTGTGTGTATGTGTGGGTGTGGGTGTGTTCTTGCTCTGCTGATTGGTTCAGGAACATACATACGTATTTGTTTCTTTTTTCATATTTTTAGTATTTTTTAATATTTATTTTTTAGTTGTACACAATACCTTTATTTTGTTTGTGTATTTTTATGTGGTGCTGAGGATCGAACCCAGTGCCTCACTCGTGCAAGGCAAGTACTCCACTATAGTCATAACCCAGCCCAATTTTTTTCTTTTTTAGAACTAATGTTCGTGTGTGTGTATGTGTGTGTGTGTGTATTTCTTTATTCATTCATAAAAGGACATTCAGATTGCTTCCATATGTTGGTTTTTGTGGAAGATGCTGCAATGAACATAGAAGTGGAAGTATCTTTTTTTTTGATCCTATTTTCAGTCCCCTTGGGATATGTAACCCAGAAGTGAGATTGCTAAATCATATTATAGTTCTAGTTTTAGTTTTTTTTTTTTTTGTTTGTTTGTTTGTTTGTTTTTTGTGATCCTAGGGATGGAATCCAGGGGTGCTTCCCAGATGAGCTACATTCCTGGCTCTTTTTATTTTTTACTTTGAGACAGCTTTATAAGTTGCTGAGGCTGGTCTCAAACTTGTGATCCTGCTGCCTCAGCCTCCTGGAGTTGCTAGGATTACAGGCATGCACCACTGTGCCCAGCCTATTTTCAATTTTTTGAAATCCCCCTATTATTTTCCATAATTGCTCTACTAATTCATATTTCCACCAACATTGTACAAGGTACCGTTTCTCTACATCCTTGCTAATGTTTATTATTGTCAATGATAATAATATAATTGAAATCCCATCTCATGGTGGTTTTGATATGCATTTACCTGTGATTAGAGATATTGAGCATCTTTTCACATGCTTGTTGACATTCTGAATTTCTTCTTTTGAATGTATCTGTTTAGATCCTTTGCCAAATTTTGAATTGGATTATTGATCTTTTTGTATTGAGTTATATTGTTACAAGCCTGGGGCATTCTGAAAACTGAAGCAATAGGGAGACCCCCATGCCTATAAACCCTCATTCTTGTGATCAGGCCAGAAAGATTTCAGCCATGTTGCTCAGAATAACAGGAATGAGTTTATTAGAGGGGGTAGGAAAGGGGAAAGGGACCGCTCTTAAGAAGAGAGTGGTTCTCTCAGAGAGGAGAAGGACGGAGCTCCTCTCCTGCCCTCTGGTTTTATTGGGATCCCTTGAGGTTTCCAGAGTCCCTCCCAGGTCCATCTCTTGACTTTTGATTGACAGTGGAATGACATCAGACTTTCAAGTCCCCACTGCCATGACACTCTACGTCACTTTGGCCCATGCTGACCCTTTCTAATTGGAACCTGTCTTACAATTTTTTTTTAGAGAGAGAGAGAGAGAGAGAGAGAGAGAGAGAGAGAGAGAGAGAGAATTTTAATATTTTTTTTATTTTTTAGTTTTCGGCAGACACAACATCTTTGTTTGTATGTGGTGCTGAGGATCAAACCTGGGCTGCACACATGCCAGGCGAGTGTGCTACTGCTTGAGCCACACCCCCAGCCCTGTTCTTACAAATTTTATGGTTAAAAAGAATTATCCTTATCTCCCTGAGTTCTGGGATCTGGTCTGTGTAGTGTCACAAAAGTCTCACGTTTCAGGGTAACTTGTATTCTTCTTATTACATTTTGGGACATTATATTATTAACATTTTGCAGATGATAGGTAGTTTGCTGAGAAATATAACATATCCTGTAGATTTAAACCAGGCAAGACTTTAGGTAAATTGCTTTTTAAAAATGAAAGCATGGGGCTGGGGTTGTGCTCAGCAGTAGAGTGCTCGCCAAGCACGTGCGAGGCCTTGGGTTCGATCCTCAGCACCACATAAAAATTTTGGTAGTGACCAACTACCAAAAAAAAAAAGTGAAAGCATGGGCTGAGGCTGTGGCTCAGTGGTAGAGCACTTGTCTAGCATGTGTGAGGCACTGGGTTTGATTCTCAGCACTGCATTATAAATAAATAAAAAAAATAAAGGTCCATCGACAACTAAAAAAAATTTTTAAAGTGAAAGCCTGTGGGGGTCAGCACAGTGGGCCCCAATATATAGAACTATTGACTTATCCTTGGATTCCCACCACTCATGTCTGTCTGTCCCCTATAAGTATGAATTCCTTTTGTATTTTGAACATTAACTTCTTTTCAGATATGTGTTTTGTAAACACTTTTCCCATTCTTATGCTATATTTTCACTTTTTATTATTTCCTTTGTTATGAAGAAACTTTTTAGTTAGACATAATCTCACTTGTAGGATTTTAGTGAGTGAGACATCTGTCTCATGGTTTTAATTTGAACCTTCTTGGTTACTAATGGGCCCATACTTTGTTGTAGCTACTCTTCGGTCATTATACTCCTCCTTTGTGGACTTTCTTTCCTGTGCCTTCTGCTCATTCTGTATCCTGATTTTCACTCCAGCATTCAGTAGGTGATTAATCTGACCACTCAGCTTCTTACTGACTCCCAGAGTTCTTTCCTCTCCCTATAACCATCCGTCCTCCTTTCCTCACTTATAACTTTGTTCATTGTCACTGGTGCCCCAGTTCCAGTCTGGCTTCCCTATGTTCTCCAGGCTCCAACCAAAAGGGAGACACCTTATGAAATGATAGTCTGAAACAGTCTAAATATCTCTGATTGGAATACTGGAGGACCATTAAAAAGAATTCAGTAAGTGACAATGTACTAATAAGAAACTACCTCCAAAATAAATTTTAAAAGTAAGGCTGGGTGCAGGGGTACACTGTGACTAGGGAGGCTGAGGCAGTAGGATTGCAAGTTCAAGGCCAGCGTGGGTAATTTAGTGAGACCCTGTCTCAAATAAATAAGAGGGCTGGGGATGTGGCTCAGTGGTAAAGTACCCCTGGGTTCAGTTAAAAAGAAAAAGTAAGGCACAGCTCTCACACCATTTACTATGCTGTCATTTTCCCATATCTAGAGTGATCTAGCAGATCTCTGGAGGGATCCACAGGAAGTGGGAGCAGTGGTGGCTTCTGGGTTGGAGAGCTATATGAATGGGGGAAAGGATCAAAGGGAGACTTTGTGTTTTACTGTAAACCCTTTTGAAGCTTTTGAATTTTGTTTTATGTTCATGCAAAATCTGTTTTTGGAAATGAATGATTTAAAAATAATAATTTGCCAGGTTCTATCTTACTTATAAATTACACACTGGCTCCGCTCAGCTTTCACAGTAAAGGTAGAATCATAGTTCTCACGTAAATAAGGATCTCATTATACTCCTTAGTATTTGGGGCACATCTGCCCCTGCAGTGACTTCCTCAGCTGTGTGATCCAACTCTGCTCAAGTATGAGCAGAAGCTGCTGTGGGCATGGCCTTTGCTTCTGGGCCTTCCTCCTTACTTACTACCCTCTGCCCAACTTTCAAAACATCACAGAGTTTTTTTCTTCAGAGAAGCTTTTTCTAAGCTCTTCCTTGGAGTAAAAGCCCTGCTGAGGTTGTTTATATCTGTTGTATGCTTCTGACAAAGTACTGTGCTGATCCTGTAGGGATAATTTATGTGTTCTCTCCCCCATAATCTGTCAGTTGGGGAACAGAGGCTGTATCCCAGTGCAGGGATCTCAGGGTTGGCACAGAGTTGGTGTCTATTAAGTATT